AAAAAAAAAAAAAAAAAAAAAAAGCAATAAATGAATAAAAGGCAAAGGCTACCCTTCCACCTCAATTAGAGCTACTTGCATTCAGTGACTCCTCTCCTTTGTTTAAAAGACTTGGAAGAGCTCTGCTTAACTGTATAAAAGTCATAACACCAGGGACAAAATCAACAGATTACAAAGTAGAAAGGCAGTGAAAAGATGGATGCAAACATGACCGATTAACCATAGATTGGAAGAATCTAGGGAGCACGGAGTTTTTAGAGGTTTTTTTTCTTTTTTTTTGCTTATGTTTTCTTTGTAAAAGGTGCACCAGAAGTTTCTGTTCCGTTTGCTGTCTTTCGCGTTCCTCTCCGTTCTCATGACTCCTTGGACTGGCGGGGCTTGGCCACGGGCTGCGCTTGCTCCGGCGGGGCCGCTGCCCGCGGTCATGACGACTCCTCGAGCGCGTTGACGACTTGCTCCAGGATGTCGGGGCAGTGATCAGCTATCTGCTGTAGGATGGCATTGGCAAACTCCTGCAGCTCCACGCTTTCCTTCTCACCCTTTTCTAACTCGCTTTGAAGCTGCAAGAGACAAACACAGTCCCCTTTAATCACTGCTATTAAACGCGCTCATCACAAGCCTTGCCCAGGAAGCCCAGTATTAAATTGAAACAGTGTTTTCAGGAAGGGAGCTGGCAGGAATCTATCATGCTGGGCACTTAACAGGATTGACGTCTTTCCTTGGTGACTCTCTTCCCTGGCCTGCAGATGCCAGCCAAGTCCCTGCTCTTTGTTTCACATTTTCACTCTACAGGGACCGGGCTTGTGACCTTCCCAGTTAGGGTCATGTCAACATGGGGATGCTAAGTGGCTTAACTGTTCCAGAATAAATCGTTTCATGATAACTATCTAGAAAAGCTTCCTCTGTAGAATACTCTGCTGAAAGCAACTTGAATTCCGGAAGAAACACGGCATTTTGCTAGCATACTAGCTATTTTAAACAAGTTGACTTTTACAYACGAATGACAGAATTTACTTGTATGAAATCAATAGAAAAAGCTACATTCCCTCTCAACCAGAATTCTAAGTTTTCTAAGGAAATACTAATTTTGCTCAGAGATTAGACTTTCTAACTCAGACATAAGCATAGTTGTGGTAGAACATGCACATTTTTGTTTACTAAATATAAGCTTTCTATTTGATTATTCACTGTTCAGATTACTACCATTCTGGTCGGAATTTGGTTCAAAATGAGACTGTCTCATTCATTCTTTGTATAGTCTATAAACTATTTTTTTTCAGCAATGGCATTACAAACTTACCACACATGTTGGAGTATCTGTGAATACACTGTCTAGTTCTGAGTCTAATACCACTGCCATAACTAGGGGCCCACAGAATTGTAATGAAGAGCAGAAAACATCTGCCTTTAGTAACCTATTTATCTGACGGGGAATTGATAAAATCCCTGCTAGTCTGTGAGCTGGGCAAAACCCTAAGTAAGGCTGCAATTTGTGCAGGTATTTTAGGGATTACTGTAGTCACAGTGGTATAAGGAGCTAACAGAACAAGGAAAAGCAGCATCTTATTACCCAGATGATGCAGTCAGATAAGCTGGACAAGCTTTTGAACATGCACCACTTTCATAAGCTACATATTCAAGAAGAAGAAAAAACCCAAATCATCTGCTTTTCCAGGGRTCTAGTTTATTCCAACAAAATCTATTCGCTGTGAATATAAGCATGTTTGTAGTGGGTACATGCAATTCTCAGATGGATTCTGAAGTTTACTCTAAGCTTTTGCACTCAAAGTCCTTTGCTATTTTGAGCAACTGTCACAACCAGCTTATCTATTTTTGAAGCTGAGTTTTAAAATTTCAGTGTTTTGAGTTTCTAGTAGTATCTGACCATCCTGCAACATTTTTTCTTTTTATCCTCAGGTTATTAATATGCTATTTCTACTGTGCTGATAGATTTTTATTGGAACTGTACGGTGTCCATATGCGACATGGAAAGAATGTGAAATTGGAATTTTTCATCCATGGAGGGAAAGTTGATCACTGCTATATGAGTTTGACTTATATTTTGTACTTCTGTAACATTACTCATTATACAAGCAGACAGACCTGTCAGGCATCAGGAMAACAGCTTTGTGTTTGCCTTAGTAAGAATACCATGCAGTGGGAAAGGTTATATATAGCTCTACATCCAATTTACCCCATTGTAAACTTTTACAATAGTTTTTGCAAATTACGAACTTTTACATGTACAACAGAATGACTCTCTTCAGTGATGGCATCAAGCAAGGCACAGGAGATGGTTCTGGGATTACCAGAGATACTGCAAGGAATGCCACATAAAAACAAAGAACCTAGGAACGACTACAGAATAAATACAAAAGCATTTTTAGGAAGCTATAGCATAGACTTCTACAAAGTGAGAGAAAGGAAATTAAAACAGTAAGCTTGCTGCACTATTCCCTTTACTAGGTAAAGTAACATACAGTAAATTATTTGGGCTCTGCATGCAGACTGTTAGTTTAATCTGTTCTTATGTGCTTTGTTGCTGGTGGCTGCTGTACTCGCTGACCGGCTGTACGAATTTGAGAGGGGCTTATGCCAAGAATCACAATGCAAGAGCAACCCGATCCCGCTTCTCAGGGCGACATGAGCTATGGAAGTGGGGAAAACGATAGGGAGGGGAGGACTCCGGGCTTTGTAAAAGCACTCAGGGGAGAAAGGGAGGAGAGAGGGGGTTCAGGAGCAGCCCCGTTAAGGCTCGGGAACAGCATGCTGTGGATATGAGATGAACTCGGTTCCAGCACCCCGGCAGAATTATTAGTCGGCAACTTGCAAGGGACGGATAAGCCTGGGAGAGATCCTGTCGGCACACAGGGCTGGAAGAGCCACGAGAGCCAGCGAGGAGCGGTGCCGGGTGTGAAAGGGCAGGAATGATGTGCTGCCTCTCAGGCTGCTCYGTCTGGCGGACCCCGGCTGCTCCCGCGGCCCTGGCTGAAGCAGCCCACAAAGCACCTCCTCGTGGCAAACGCGCACGCTTGGTTTGAGCATCCAGCCACAAGGGCCGGCTTCCCCGGGCTCCCTGGGCCCAGCGGCAGATCTCATGGCCATCCTGATCAGAAGGGTGTAAGTAGCTGGAGGTTAGGGGAGAGAGGAAGCCATGGAGAAGAGGCACACGATGCTTTTCTCCTTCGCTTCCACCATGCCCTCAGCTCCCGGCCTGAGAGAGCAGGGCCAGGAGAGGGCAGTGTTAGCAGGGAAAGCGTCACCGCGCGCCCGCCGGCTGCCACCGGAGCAGGGATGGCTCCCGCGGCCTTCCAGGTGAAAGCCCAGGACAGGACAAAGCCTGTTGAGGAATCACCAGACATGAAWCAAAACATCTCGAAGGGTTTCACCTTCGAAACGGAAAGGAGGTTGGGTGGCCTGAAAGGACCCTACTGGTAATCCTCCACGCAGGAACCCTGCAACGTCTGCAATTTGGGCAGAGAGGAACCTCATGAGGTTCAATAAGGACAAGTGCAGGGTCCTGCACCTGGGGAGGAATAACCCCAGGCATCAG